TCTGCGTCAGAGTACATGTCACGCACCGCATCCTATACATCTTTTGACGTGGGAAGAAATAGATATGCCTTCCCAATTGCGGGTTTCATGGAGTTGATCAACCACGCAGTCACCAACGAGTTTTCCGATCTCCATCTTTGCAGTAAGACGGCGTTGGTTGAGGCTCGTTGCCGCTTTTCACCGGAAAGATAGCCGAGTTTTCCTTTCCCATCAATAATCAACTTAATCGACCGAGCCCATTCTCTATAATTTTTACCAATCAATTTTTCCACAGTAAGTTGAATGGAAGAGTTGTCCAGTCCGCTTGAGCCCATGGATGCAAGGGATTCTTCCTTGCTAATTTGAGGCTCCTGTGTCGTTGACTGACTGTTCTCCTCTGAATGTTCTGCCATTTTCGGTTGACGGCTAGGTTAGTCACGACCTGATACCATGTGATTTAAGGCTAAATAGAGAAGCGAAAAATAATTCTTGTTATTCCACATAAGGTTTACAATCCAAGGCTTCTATATATACTATACAAACGGGGAAGAAATAAGGTAAATATCTATGCAAGGAAAAAATAAAATTTCCTAATCTTAATATGGTAATACAATAATAAATCAATTCACAATCTATCCCACCATAATTACGGGATTTCTACAATCTATTATGAACCATTTGCATTGATTGCCAGGCTGCTTAAAATTTTCTATGAATGATATGAAGAGAACAATTTTAGCTGGTGTTTTTTTTTATTTTTTTATTTTTTGTGGATGTTAACTGTGATATATCTAATGATGAACTACATATGCACTGCTAGGAGAAATTTACTCATTTCCTTGATCTGGTTTTATGTTCAGCTTGATTATTCTTAAGCTGTCTACCTCTCAACATTTTTAGTAACTGTTATTTGATGGGTTTAGCCGCTGGTGATTTTCTGAAGAACCAGGTTTGGGTTGCCCAAGTGGTTCTATTGTCATTTGGATGACTTATTGCCTATTACAATTGTTATATCTTCAAGATGGGTAGTAATACCGGTAAGGAGACAAGGCATTTGTGCTTCAAGATGGCTATCAGAATTTTAATTATACTAAGTACCTGATACAAACTATCCAGTTATATATCAACTCTGCTAAGGTATAATAGAAATGGATCAAACAACTAACAAACATAATTTCATAAAGACAATATTAACTGATATACATATAGCACTTTCTAATAAGTTTAAACTTTTAAGATGGGTTCAAGTCTCGCCACCATCCATTTAGTAGAAATAGTGCATGTGTCAAGCTTTGATGGGCAAAAAAAATGAATCCCACCTACATGTGAAGGGCGATTTGAAGACAATATTTAAATGATAATCATGTAGCTCTCTCTCTAATAGTTTAAGCTTTTGGATCAAGTGGTTCAACACTTATCTTCACCTGTTAGTGTGCAAAGAGAAAGCATCCAGTATTTCTATTTGTTACTCCAAAGTGATGTTTGTAATGTTTTTGGATCTATTTTTTGCAAACAAGAACGAGGAGAAACTATTAGTTGCTTCTATCTATGTTAAATTTCCATATGAAGCAACTGTAAAACATGGTGCATATTCATGCAAATTTCATTTTCGTCTTTTCGTTTCCCCTTCTATCAACTGATTTTATTTTTTGGCGCACACAATTCTTGTATTTCACATAGCAAAGTGATCTTATTGGCAGGCAAGGCAATCTCTTATAGTCCGAGGCCTTTTCCCAATGCTTGCAGATCCTCGACATCCTGTAAGATATCTTCCTCGTGCATATTTTTCATTTTTATTAGAAGATGAAGCCACTTAGATCATCCCTGTATTCTGCATTTTGATGATTACTTCCCCTAAATATGTACGTTTGAAAGAATTAGTACAACTAGGTATCAAATTCAATGTTTGGAAAGGCTATTGATGAGACTTAGCCAGACTGAGTTATGGTATCTGTTTAGCTTACATGTACAATACAGTTCTACTTCTACATGCTTTATATATTCCCCTGATTATGCACACTTCAATAATGCTTAGAAATTATTGTCGAAGATGTCAGGGATTAGTATTCACTTGTATTCAGTTAAATGTCTACTGCATGTTATACTCATCATAATCCACCTTGATTTTTAGATCATCATCATATTTACCCTATAGTATTTGGTCAAAGACAAACTTGGATCATAAAAATCCTGAAGGAACAAAAGTTACCTTCAGAAGGGAAAATGCATGTGAAGTAATAGAATGTCAAGTAGGGTGCCCTTAACCGAAACTTGAGATAACTAAAATTCCAAAATGTTTGTTAGTCTTCATGCAATTGAAAAGCAAGCTTGCACTCGAAAATTTTCCTTGAGGATCTTTGTGGAAGTGGAGATCAGCTGCAAAACTATTCGGTTGTTATTAATTCAAACTATGCCTTATTAATTCATACTATGCCCAACAGATGTTTTTCCATTGGGGTAGCTGCTCAGCCTGAAATATCCAATTTTGAAGACATAATAGATCTTTATCTGCACAAATTTTGATTAGAAATTTAGGTCCCAGTTTATTCAAAATTTTGCTTTTTAGTTCCGAAACTTTTGTTATTGTGCCTCATGTATTCACGCTTTATCCTGCAGGCTGAGCCTACAAATGCAACAAATGAGTCAGTATTGAAGGTAGCTTTGGATCATGGCAAGGCATCCGGTATTATAAAACCACATGATCGAGTTGTTGTTTGCCAGAAAGTTGGTGATGCATCCGTCGTGAAAATCATTGAACTTGAAGACTAGACATACCAATTCCACGTGCCGTATGTTGTTCGTTCAGAAAACCTTAGTACTCAAGTCTCTTGAAACCGCTCTCTACAACGAACTCATTAGGTGACATGAGTTGTTGTGTACCATGTTTCTTGTACGTATATCAGGACAGTAATATGCTTTGTACCTCTGAAGTATTATTCGTCTTTTCTTTGTAATGAATCCAGTCGTATCGTGTGTTAATCTAAGAGCACAGGAATGCGGTGTGCACTTCCAACTTTATAATAAAAAGTCACCTATCCCTTAGTGGAGAATATGGCATTTTCTTAATCTTATCAACTTAGAAGCCAGATGTGTTGTTCTCTCAACTGTCTCATACACGCGTTTAAGCGAGTCTATGGGGTTCTGTTGTGATAGGTAGGCAGCTATTTTTTACACAAAAGATCTCAAGTACTAAGATAAAAATCAAGAATATCGATGTGAAGTATAACCACGCTTACACGAGTCACGTAAGATCTCTTAGATTGTAATATAATATTGTTATAATGTACTTCAAAGTGTTTTTTAAGTACTTGTGATTGTCTCTAATCTGGTCTTTATTAGGCATATATATGATATATCCAACAGACGGCAACAGTAAATGTATTATAAGAGCAGACAATATGATCAGCAGAAGAAATAAACACAACAATCTATTGTTGTATTATAAAAAACGTGGATAAATTCCCATCGTGTACATTATTTCTCTATAAGGCATCTGCCCGAGTAATCTATGTCCTGAATAGACCATCTCAGAACAATTGGTGCCAAATATTGACGAAAACTCTCAGAATCGGACCTTGTGATTCGAAAAAAATCTTTGAAATAAAAATTGGCACATCAGAAGTAACATTGCAAATACCTGGAAATTAATTATCATGAGCATTGAAAAATTCCGATTGGGATCTGAATGATCTCTCTTCTTGTAAAAATTCTGCAGGAGTTCATTGTCTACAAGACTCTTAGTAGATATGAGGATAACGTAAGCATCATTCACAGAAGAAGTCTTCCAAAATGGCCTTATAAGCTATTAGGTCCTCAACATTGAAAGTAGAGTGGTAACCAAGGTGTGGTGGAATGTCAACAACATATGCATTTGGACCAATCTGTTTTAAAATCTTAAAAGGACCAGCACTACGAGTTTGCAATTTGGAGGCGGGTCCATGTAGACGCCGCTCTGGCCTAATGCGGACCATAACGTAATCCCCAATGTTAAACTCATTGTGTCGTTTATGCAAATCAGCTTGGAGTTTATATTTTACATTACTAGCTTCAAGTTGTTTATTGATCTCAATATGCAAATCATGAAGATGTTGTGCAAATACTTCAGCTGACACTGACACTCTAGCATGTGGGGACATAAGGATGAGATCTAACGGTTTCCTAGGCTTGTACCTATGAACGGCTTCAAATGGACACATACCTAATGAACGATTTATAGAGCTATTATACGCAATTTGAGCTATAGGAAGGATCAAATCCCAATTTTGAAGATTTTCCCGAACCAGACAACGTAATATGTTACCAAGACTTCGATTAACTACTTCAGTTTGACCGTCAGTCTGAGGGTGGTAAGCCGTAGAAAATTTCAATTTGGTACCCATCTTTTGCCACAAAGTCCTCCAAAAATGGCTAGTGAAACGAACATCCCTATCGGACACAATGGTCTTAGGAAGCCCATACAATTCAACAATCTCATTAAAGAACAACATAGCCACCTTAGACGCATCTGAGGTCTTGCTACAGGAGACAAAATGAGCTATTTTCGAAAAACGATCGACAACCACAAAAATAGAATCATGTTTCTTTGGGGTGCGTGGAAGGCCTAATACAAAATCCATACTAACATCTTGCCAAGGACAATTGGGGACGAGAAGAGGGGTGCATAGGCCTGTGTTTTGCCTCTTCTGTTTACTCAATTGACAAGTGTTACATGTACTAACAATCTTAACCACATCTTTCTTCAAGCTAGGCCAACAGAATTGGCGTTCAACTTCCTCTATGATCTTATCACATCCAAAGTGACTGGCTAACCCTCCTGCATGAATTTTCCACACTATGAAATCTCGCACTGAAGTTTGAGGGATGCACAATTTATTGGCTCGAAAGAGATAACCCTCCTCAAGTCGGAAGTCATCTGTGGTGTTTGATTGTTTCCTTTGCAAATCGAGAAAGATATCCTTAAAATCGGGACATGCCTCGTAATCCACCTTAAGCCTTTCAAAATCGATGACCTTGACACTCATGATCGACAAAAGGGAGACACGACGACTTAATGCATCAACTGTTTAGTTCTCCACGCCCTTCTTGTGTTTTAAAACTAATGAATAGGCCTGTAAATATTCAATCCACCGACCATGCCTAGAGCTTAATCTTTTCTAGGAGTTGAGGTAATGGAGGGCCTCGTGGTCTGAATAAAGGACAAATTCCTGGGGCCACAAATAGTGGCGCCAATTTCGCAAAACCTGGACCATCGCATACAATTCTTTATCATAAGTCAAATACCATTGTTTGACTTCATTTAACTTCTCACTGAAGTAGGCAACAGGGTGACGATCCTGACTCAAGACTCCGCCTATACCTATCCCGGAGGCATCACATTCAACTTCAAAGACTTTGGAAAAGTCGGGA